CAACCAAATCAACGCGATTTGAGAGTCCGAGACTAATAGTTTGTGGATGACCCGCGATGCGTTCCTTCAGCGCCTGTGATATCGAATTGGCCAATCGCATTGCCAAGGTGAGGGCATTCAATTCTAACTTTGGCATCGTTGTTTTTGACTTGATGGAGGAAAGTTTACACTTCGCCATTGCCAATTCTGAGTAGTGTTTATTAAAAATGTAGGCACTAGTCGCTATTGCGATTTCACTAGCTTCTGCGAAGATTGCTAGATTTGGCGTGTACCATTTGTAGTGAAGCGGATATTGATGCAATCATGTTCTGCATCCCACGTGATTCCTAGTACCTTTTGAACCTTTTGAAATGTTTTCATGGCGTTGGCTCCTTGGGAAGCTTGTATCGTAGAGCGTCTTCGTTAGAGAGAAATTCCCTCAAGTTTATGCTCATATCTTGAAATATCTGACGCGTCGTTAGTGATTTTTGAACCCAACTGCTCCCCAGTAGATGCCGCAAGGGTCAGGTTGTCCACGTATAAGTTGTTGCGAATTCCATCAGCTAGCGTGGCATCGTCTACCATTGTGCGTTAATGGTGATGGATTGTTCCGCCCAGTAAGTAGGGGGACACGTTTAGTCCAAAGGTTACTCGAGTAAAACGGAACATGACATTTATGGGCTGGTTGATGTTTCTGTTCCACAGGAATCGTGTGGCGTCTCGGTCCTTTTCATGTGGTGGGACCTGGAGGAATGCCTTTCCGACGTTCGCTATAACCACGTACTTGGGACTACGGAAACGAAGTAGCATGGCGTATAACTCAGGTAGTATGAGTGGCCCTTGATGCAAGACGTCGTTCAATGAGGAATTATCCTTGAACTGATGGTGCTGATGCATGAAACACGATCCTCATTTTCGTCGTCTCTTTGTGTGGGGTTAGCACCGGATGTGGGATGTAGTGAAGCGGAGAACCTTCTTCTGGTAGAGCTTATTGGGCTTATTCGATGATACCGCTCGGTGATATCGATATGTCATCGAGATTGGGAGGTTTTATCAAATTCGTGCAGTAAGTTGGCGTCTTCCGCAATAATTGTACCCCTGAATGAAGGCGTTTGAGTGCAATGGGTTTGTTCGATGGAAATTCACCGTAATTGTCCTTATAGGGGAACCGGATATAGTATCCACCCTCTCGCTTTCCTGTGGAGTCTTCGAAGAATTTTGGAACTTTTTGATTGACGGCTTCTTTCTCTGCGTTCTTTGTTCCAGATTCCTGCATTATCCATGGTCCAATATTTGTCCCATCTTTCCATTTATTCTTCAAAGTCGACCAAGCAATTTATGGTTCCCACCGTAGACGAAACCTCTGGACTGTGGGTGTGGCTTTGCTCCGTTATGCTTTTTTGTTTGCCTGTGATCAAGTATCCTATCGTGGAGGGGATCAGTTGTAATCCTGATGGCCCGTTACGAAGGACTGGTCCGCTCCAGTATCCAGAAGAATCTCTACGTTTTCCTACTGGTAGGACTGTAATTGTATACGAGTGCCACTCCCGTTAGTGTTGAAAGCAATAGTTCCTGGGATGTCTCCCTGGTCATCCACTGAGGTGTCGTACCTCGTACTCTGTTCACCGGAAGCTGAGCTTGTTTTACGTTTTTTGCTTATCTGTTCGTGTCTCATTTCCCTTTTGTGTTTTCTCCGGTGGTGGAATGTGTTCTTTTGTGCGAGCTACCGTCTGAGGGTGAAAGTTAACCATTCGAGGCTCCCGCTTTGGACACAAGGTGTGGTGGTGCTTTTTTCCTTTGCACTCTCTGCATCCATCACTTGTGCACTCTTTTGCCTAGTGTCCTGGGGCGGCACAGTTGAGGCATCTGCTTTTGTTTCTGAAGGCCGAGCGCTCCTCCACTATAGAAGCATACTTATTGCATTCGCTTGATCTGTGGGTCACCTCCTTAGAACATGCAATGTTGACTTCCCTTTTTCCTATTGTCCATGCGAGGTCTCCCAGGATAGCCTCCGATCATGGATGTACCAGTGTGAGTCTGTGCCTTCATCGCTCCCTCTATTCTCTCTTTGGTGGCTAATAGCTCATCTAGATCGGCCAGAATGGTCTGCATTGCCCAATTGGATTCCTGAGTTTCCGACTTTAAATGGTGCCTTAGCACCTGACGTTGTAGCTCCAATAAAATTTTGGAAATGAGTTTTTGTGACAGATATGAGCCGTTGAGGATTACGCCTTTTTCTTCTTGTTGGGTTATTATCGGCATTACGAATTCTATACTATAATAGAAGTCGACGTTGTGCCGGAATCCTATTATTTTCGGCTCTAGCTTGCCCTAGGCGGGACTGGAGGTTGGCTATAATTTTTTCGCCTAATCCTTTCCCGTGCTTCACCTTGCAGTGCGTTCAAAAGATATTGAACTTTTGTAGATTAGTTAATGGTTGATCATGCACGTTTTCACAAAACAAAGTTCAAAAATTCGCAAATTCCCAAATTTTCCCCGTGAATGGAGGGATGGGAATAGCTGGCAATTGTGGTCTTGCCGCTGTGACGTGACTGCCAGTGGATTGAGTCAAACCACTTGTTGCCATAGGTATAATAAATGTTCGTGATCACGGGTGCTCAAACGCCTCGCTTCTATATCGACGGCAGCAAGTTGTGCTTCCTCCAGTATCGTATGCGCCGTCTCAATATGTTCATGAGCCTGCGCTTCTTGCTCATCAGTTAGTGACTCAATTAATGAGTCAACTGAGGCTGTGAAGGCGGATAAGGTTTCTTGGACTAGTCGTGAATGTAACTGCAGGGCGAGAGCTTGCAGGTGTTGGGAAGTTTCTGGGTCAAAATTTAGGATATTTTTCGTTTTGATGAAGTTTTCATTTTCTTGAATAATATGTTGCAATTTATTACAATACCTGATTAGCAGAACCTTCTGCGATTTAAACCATCGAGAGGCAACATCAAAAGTTTATTACGTTGGTTAATGAAGAGAGTAGCCGACAGGGGGTGCCCTGCTAGCTTGTCTGCTCCCTCTACGCGAAATAGAAACAGCTTTGATTCACTTGTAAAGCAAAGGTAGCAAATTGCTACCTAGAGGCCTAGAGGGCTGTAGAAAGGGAGGACTAAGGGTAATAAGACTCATCGCTTGTTATTGGTGAAACTTGGAATATGTGAATTTACATTGCCTCTCTAAGAGAGAGCGGACAAGTCGTGCGCCACTAGCCGCCTGGCTCTGTCGAATGGAATGCTTGTGCTCAAATTGAGAGATAAAAGGGACCTGTATGTGGTCTCTACAAAACCTAATGCAGCGGTGTGAACGTCTCGGAAACCGGAAGTCGTGGGTGACTACAATGAAATGAAGGGTTTCGTCGACCTGGCTGATCAGATGGCATCATACACGCCATTTGTGTGCAGAACCATGAAGTGGTACAAGAGGTTTTTTCCACTTAATTACGCAAACAGCTGTTGTGAACGCTTGGAAGCTGTACAAAGATGTCGTGAAGAATGTCAGGCTAAATGACTTCAAGCTAGAGGTGGTCGAATCTCTGCTGAATGTTGATTATGGCCACACTTCGAGTCATCATTGTCACTCCATGTGTTGAAGGAGGTACCTGAAGGTCTAAAAGGGATCAACAGGAGATGTGTGGAGTGTTACGCAGCCATGCCTGAAGAGCAAGGATCTGCTATCGAAAAAAAACAGAAAGGGTCAACACGCGTTGCAGTAGGTGCAGGAAATTCTTTTGCAACGATTGTTCCAGTAAAAAACACAAGTCTTGTCACGTAGAAACGTAATTTCTTGAAGTCATTAATTGTACCTTGTTATTAATTACTTATGATTATTTCTATTATTTATATGTTCGTTCTGAAATAGGAGTCGAAGTTCAATTTCAACTAAAACTTTTACAAGGTTTGGAAAATCTTTGCTGGACTAAACCATTCTGCTCCGACTATGGACCACTTTGTTTGTAGAAGTCTCAATGCTTTGTCTATTAAATGACACAAAAAATTCAAAAAGTCGCTCTCGTAAAAAAAAAAGAGTGGTGACAAAACCTTGATTCGCATGCGCGTCACTCGCTCCCCCGTGGTCTGCAAGGCTTGACGCGCATGCGCGTCAAGATGTCGTCAATGGGTTAAGCGATGTAGGTTCCGTCATCGCTCATAATATTTTCGAAATTTCGAAAAATTCGAAGAAAAGTAAGTGAAGGAAAACGAAAAGGAGGCTTCGAATCGAAGAATGCCGGCAGACGAAAAGCTTCCTTGACAAGCCAATTGATGAGCCGTGAATTGCGTAAAGTGTGCTTAACTGGAGCCTCAAAGTGGTCGATGCACCATATATATTAACTATACTGACCATATAGCCGTTATATCAAGTATAGTTGTTTAACTTCCTTGGCACGATAGTCTCGCCACTATCACCACCACACGATAGATTACCACGATTTTATTGCGACAAGCGAAACCTCAAACTTAGGTTATTAAACCATATGAATAAGAACATAATAAATACATACAAAAAGGCACGAACCGTCATACATGCAAAAGGCACAAACCGTCCAGGATATGGCGTATCGATACGAAATGTGCGATTAAAGCGAGAGAGGTCAAGTGAGTGCGTGTGATTAGCGTATAAAGCACAAGAAAATAAATGACCATTCATTAAGCGTAATAAAGAACATTATAAAAAGCACAATAGAAGCGTAGATTGCGTGAGGACAGCGTGGAGAACGTCAAAGGCAACTGGACTCTGTTCTCATTCTAGCGTGCTTATATACGCGGGGCATCGAGCCTTGCACGACGGGAAAGTGGCATTTTGTTTTGTGAGAAAGTTGAGATAAGGGATGAGAAAGTTGAGATAAGGGGATGTTTCCAGTCGCGCAAGACTCGATACGCCGAGATTACAACTTTAGCCGCGTTACAGTTGCAAGAAAGAGATTGAAGTCGCGAGATACATGACTGACGACTCGACTGGACCATGGCGGCTCTTTTGTTTGGCTCGTGGTTGCGCGTGTGTAGTTCTTAGCAGGCTGCGAGGCGTCTTTGTACCATGTTTTCACCCTGGACGGTCTGACAGCTAAAATCAAGTCACTTTTCATGTGTTATGAGTCATGGTCAAGATTGATTGATTCAAGGAGGAAATTATAGAGGATCGCGTATTACCGCGATGCTTTGTAAGTTCAGAAATACATCGATCCAAATTGTGCGGCAAGGAACATACATGGAACGATGGGACTCTCCAAAGCCTCATACGGCACAACGGAAGTCGGTACCACGAGGCAAAAATGGCCACTTTGACTAGACCGAAACATCACGATCTGGGAGAACAGCTGAGCACCTTCTGAAGCTAGTTGGAGGGGATTTCAGGCAAAGAACTTGTTAGCTAGAAAGGAGCTGAATAGCTACACTCACAGTGGCTGTCCATTTCCATAGCCTCGAAAAGACTTGGAGATACGGAGTATTGGTAAGTCATGAGTTAGGGTCCAAAAAAGGAGAGATGCATGCCTGAACTTGTTGACTTTCTGACGCATATTCGCATGGCTCAAGTCTCTCCCACCGGCGGCGAGAAGAGCGTTCTCTACGTGACCACTCGAGAAAGCGCTGTTCGCTTGAACGGTAGAGCATGGAATCTTAGTGTATATAGATGGATACTGCTGCAGCTCCACGAGAGAAAGAGCGGAAAGCTCCTACGAGAGAAAGCTCACTTTTTTAACGACAGTCCCCCCC